AACACATCTTCTTTATCCAGTTTCCAGTTGATGGGCACTTGGGCTGTTTCCAAGCTTTAGCTATTACAAACTGTGCCTCTGTAAACATGGGTACACATATATCTCTGTGGTATGATTCTTTTAATTCATTTGGGAAAATACCCAGCAGGGGAATAGCTGGGTCAAATGGGACCTCCAGTCCTAGTTCTTTGAGATATTTCCACACTGATTTCCATAGTGGTTGCACGAACAGCCGTACTTTTAATTTGGATGAATTCAGTTTTGAGAAGTTAAGAATTACTTGACTCAAGACTCAGTTTTGGCCAGGTGTGGTGTGGCACATGCCTGTAATCCCAGCACTCAGGAGGCTGAGCCAGGAGGGTTGCCATGAGTTCAAGGCCAGCCTGGGCTACATAGTGAGCTCAAGGATAGCCTGAACTACAGAGCAATACCCTATCTCAAAAAAAAAAAAATCACTTTTGAAGATGTTAATTTTGAAGAATCAAGGTGTATCCACTTCTAGATACTTAATGCTGTCAACACTGGCTCAGTATTTCCTTTCTTTACCTAATAACCTAAGTTTTGCCAAACATTTCTTAAAATAGCAAGACCAAAGTAGGAACCTCTACAATTATCTGTAAACTAGATAACAATCACTCTGCTTTCCTGTTTTTCACTACATTTCTGAAAGGCTTCTGGCCCCTTCAATAACCTACCATTTGAATTACATTGAAAATTAATCTTTTACATGTCTCAATAATTAAATTGAGCACATCAAAAATAAAAGCAAACAAGAAGCAAAAAAGGTAGGTGAAATAACCTGATCCTGGGTAAGTCTGGACAGTTTTCCTCTTTCTCGAACTTATCTGAAAAGAGCAACAGGAAAAACCTTACAGGTGCCTGGAAGCTGCCTGGCACCGCAGCCCTCTGGGTCCTAATGTTCTCCTGTCTGAACAGAGGCCACTCTTGTCTCACCCAGCCTGTCTGTGCCAGCTGCATAGCTGTGTGGCTCTACCTGTTAGCCCTCATGGGCCTGTTCCACCTTGTGCGCTGGTACCAGGAGAGGCAGGTGGTGAGCCACCTCCAAGACAAGTATGTGTTCATCACGGGCTGTGACTCGGGCTTCGGGAACCTGCTGGCCAGACAGCTGGACATGCGAGGCTTGAGGGTGCTGGCTGCGTGTCTGACGGAGAAGGGGGCTGAGCAGCTGAGGAAGCAGACGTCAGAACGGCTGGAGACAGTGATCCTGGGCGTCACCCAGACAGAGAGCATCGCTGCAGCTGTCCAGTGGGTAAAGGAGCATGTGGGGTACAAAATATGGCCACAGGAGTCTGTCCATTAGGGTTAGAATTACCAGAATATGTGCTAGGTGAGAAGTCTTGGGGATCAGATTGAGGACATATAGGAGATATGATTTCATTACATAAGGACTCACAAATACATCAGTATTCATAGAGTAAGTGAATAAAATATTTATACTTGGCACTGCCGTGATAAAATCTGGCTGTATGCTCTCTCTTCTGCCACTGTCTCTATTTCTATCTCTATCTATCTATCTATATTATATATATATATATATATAAATATATATATATCAGGGTGGCAGGAAGAAAGATGTATACTGGCCATTAGGAAATAGGATTTGTGTGTGTGTGTGTGTGTGTGTGTGTGTGTGTTAGATAGGAAAGCAATGAGGGAATAGAAAGAGGTGATTGTAGTGTAGAACATCTAATTTACAGGTATGGAAGCCTTTGAAAATCCATAGTAAAAATGTTATCTCTGATCTCTGATTCCTTTAACACAGACTGTCATTATGCTGCCCATATTTCATTGATATGACTTCTGAGAAAAGGATGAACCTGCTTTCTCAGACTTGCAAGATAATGAGAATCAGAAAGACCTGCATCAAGGAAGGTTTCTACCAGTACAGACAATGATTTTATGATGAGACAGTTGATAATTGAGCAATAGATAATGAAGCCACAAGTTCCAACACAGTATGCAAAATGCTGAGATAGGAGCAGTAAGGGGATGAGTCCTAGCTTGGGGGACTGTTGTTGTAACAAGAGGGAAGGAGAGAGAAAGGATGGTATGTAAATTGTTTTGTTTTGTTTTGTTTGATACTGGGGATCCAACTTGGGACCTTGCACTTTCGTGGCAGGCAGCAGAACCACTGAGCTAAATCCCCAGCCCTGCAAATAGTTTTTAACGTTTAATGATAAAAAAAATTTCTTTCTAATTCCACTGTGAAATGGAAAGCTAGCACATCTGTGGAGAGGGAGCACAGAAGAGGGAAGAAAAGAGTGAAGATTTAAGGTAGTGTTTGGCTTTTTGTTTGGGGTTTTTTTCCCCTCCTGGATACTGAAACTTAAACCCAGAGCCGTCCACATCCTAGTCAAGTGCTTTACCACTGAACTGCATCTCCAGCCATTTTTATTTTTTATTTGGAACAAGCTCTCACTAAGCTGCCCAGGCCTCAAACTTATGATCCTTTAGCCTCTGCCTCCCAAGTAGCTGGAATTACAGGCAAGTGCCACTGTGCCTTTTTAGTTTTTAGTATCCTGGGAGAGGAAGTTGGTTAAGAAAGAGTTTTGATGCAAGATATGTGAGCTTTCTCTGTTTGGTTCCCTGATGTACTCCAAGCACTTAAAAGACTGTGTGGCACATAAAGATCACTTAATAAATCTATATGGAAGAAATGAATTCCAGATGTTGTTGGAGCTCACCATTAATGAAGTCCATGAGTTTGTGGTGGCACCAATAGACTCAGTTGTGTGATGTTTATCTAAAATGGCTCAGCCACTTCCTGGAATATGTGTCTAAAAGAGGCAGAGTCAGGAGTTTGGTAGGTAGAAATGATGAAAGAATAAGCTGTGAGTGTTTAGGATGATGGTTACAGAGTGTCCTGTGAATTCTATCCTTCAGAGGAAGGGAATAAAGCCAAGAGGGAGACTGGAGGGAGAAAATGAAAGCATCAGAACTGAAACTCGACATTGGAAGGTAGATTGCCAGACTGCATTACAAGACATTAAAAAATAGGGCGTCAATGTCCAGGCTGGGTATGAGGGACTGAAGAGCCTGCCTTTTTTCCTCAGTCTTAGCAGCCTCTGAGAGCCATGGCCAGTATCAGAGAGGATGATCTTAGGACCCTCTGTCCTTGATCATCCTGACGTAAGAACATAAGAGAGGATTGTTCAGGGTGGGGACCAAATTTGCTGCTGTCACTCGGTCTTAGTAATCTTGGAGAATCTCCTCTGAGGAGCTTGACAAATGTGGCTATGGAGTCAGCCTCTGAAATTAGGAGTGGCTAAGGAGGAAAAGAAGGTTGGAGAAGGGGCCAGGACTGGGCCTCTTCCACCTGTACCAGTTGTTATGGGTTTGAGGACCTGGAAAGGTAAGCCCTCTAACTTCCACACCCAAGGTGGGCATCCAACACCTGCCAAGTACCCGCATCAAGGAAAAAAATCTCTATGTGTATCCAGGCCATGTTCCCAACCCAGTGAAGATATAAATTTCTGGTTGGGAATGAGTGTGGGGCTGCCTGGAGAGGCCAATCTGTAGCTGGCAGCAGGCCAGGAGTGGCACACACCTACAAGGGTCCTAATGAGGCAGGAGATTAGGGAGTGGCAAAGCTGGCTGGGGAAGTAGGTGTGACCTGTTAATTACAAAATCCCAAAAGACATGCACAGAATAGTGTGCCCTGCATGTGGACTTCTTGCAAGAACTCAAGCAGTTTCTCAATAGGATGTCCTAGACTTGATGTCAGCCCAAGGAGTGAGTGATACCAAAAGAAGAGTCCACACTGAGCTCTCACCTCTGTGTTCTTTCACAGTAGCCTACCCTCATGCTGTGCAGTGTATCTTACTTACTTTTTCTTGGCCCTTACCTGCTCTGTAGAGCCTGTTTCTTTTCCTACTTTTAATAAATGTAAAACCTTGCCACCTTTTGCACTTGTTTTGACCAATTCCTTGTTGGGACAGAAAGAACCTACAAACCACCTCTAGAAGGAGCCTCCAGCACCCAGAAACCTGATAACATATTTTTCAGAGCCATCCAGGAGCATACCTTTTGGGCATCATTTCTTTGTTTCTCTCTAAAATCTATGGCTGAGAAGGTGTTTCTCTCTCTCTCTCTCTCTCTCTCTCTCTCTCTCTCTCTCTCTCTCCCTCCCCTAGGAAAGCTCCATTCCCCTTTTCATCCCTTCTCCCCCAGGAGAAGTTCATCCTTCAGAGAGTTCAAATCCTTTTTGGTTATCAGGGAGCGGCAAGGAGCTAGAGAGTGGTAAAAATTAATGGAAGCTGGGGAACGTAGTATAGTAGAACTTTGACACTGAGGAGACCACTCCCCTGGACCCACTTGAGCCTGGGCAGCACCCTAGGGCCATTCCTCCTTAACCTCTCCACTTCACCCACTTGAGCTCTGGTGACACCCTAGGACCATTCCTATATAACCCCACACCAAAGCACATGTGGGTTTTTTTTCCTTCTTTACTCTTTTTGGATTCTGTTTTGTCTTTCTTGTCCCAGGACCATTTTTCTGCTCACGATTTTCAATAAATGTAGTTGCTTTTTTTTCACCACCAGATGTACTTTGCAATTCTTTGCTTGCCATACATAAGAATTTGGCTCAAGGACCCGAGTTTGATCCTCAGCACCAAAAAAAACCCAACCAAACAAACAAAAAACCCCATGTTGGATTCACCATATGGTTACAAACTCAGAACGTTTTCTCAGGAAGCCAGGAACAGCTTCCTAGTGTGTCCCACCATGTGGAATGGGCGACAAAGAACTTACTATGGCCTCTTTGTTTTTCCAATCCAGTAAGGGGCCTGTAAGTCTGCCTCACACTCATCTCCCCTTTCTTCTCTTTCCCATATTGTTACTCACTGCAGTACAAAGGAGTAACAGAGAGCCTATTATTAACCCAGTTGCATAACAGATCATTCAGGTTCCATGTGTGTGATCTAGAGTTTAGTATGCCTTTTTGGCCTCACATTTCTGTTCTCTGTGATACTTTGCTCAGCTTCCTTGCTTTTTTTGAAAGAAAAGAAATAGCTATTGGTAAATTAGTCACCTGTCTGATTAGCCACCCACCCCAATTTACCCTTCTTTGTGCTCAAAGTCTCGTATGTGCTTTTCCCCTAGATGGCCTTTTCTCTCTGGGTATCATTAGCAAGTTGCTTTCTCAAGTCCTTGTTTCAACCCAGTCTACCTTTCTGCCACTACTGGCAGCCATTTTGGTTCTTCCTATGGGTCAGCCACATGAATTTGGCCATGTTTGTTCACCATTTTACTTGATCACATGAGTTTGTCACATAGTTCCACCATGGTTGTTTCCCATTTTCTTTTTTTCTTCTCTTTTTTTTAACTGGCTTCATGATCACCAGGAAATCACACTCGTATAGCTAGGAACGAAGCTTCTGATTTTAAGGAACATATAGGCCTCCTCTACTTTTCTCTTTTGAATTGGGTTAGATCCCTCCCCATTTATTCTAACAGAAATTCAGATAATTTAGAGACATATACCTGATATCCCAAGCAGAACAAAAGAGCAGCCAGTAAAGCTGAAGGAGAGAATTATGATTCAAGATCCATGGTCAATGACAATATTAGTAAGGCTCAAGTGTGGATTGTGTTTATTTACTAAGTGCTTTCAAATACTTTATCCCATGTGTTTCTCACAACTCTGTGAGATAAAAATCCTTATGAATTGGACAACTATGAGTTAACTGTGTTATTAAGCAACTATGGGTTAACTATGCTCTTTGTAAAATGTATGTGAGTAGCCATGACAAGTTCTGTAATCTGTCACCAAAGGAGCATGATGGACTCTGAAAGTTCTGCCAGAACTCTTTGCTCTGTCACCCTTCACTCCTCTGCTTGTGTAAATGCTGCTTGCTATATTCCCAGGGAAACTCCAATGGAATTAAGGCTCATAGATGTAAAAAATGTCAAATAACTAACCAACCAAAGACTGCCAAATACTCTGCTTCTGCCTCTGTACCTCCTGCTTGCAACCCTATAAAACTGCCAGCCTGCTGATATTCTGGGCCTAACTTCTTTGGGCAAAGATCCCAGTCAAGTCTACCAGTGTGAATAAAGCTGTTTACTGTCTCTAGACCTCTGGGTCTTGTCTGTTTCCCACTTCTGATATTCTGTCAGTGTAGTAGTCTGGAAGGCCTGCTGTTAACACAATACCATAGACAGCCTGGGTAGCTTTTAAACAATGGTTCTGGAGGCTGGAAAGTCCAAAATCAAGGTCCAGCATGGCTGTGCCATTGGACACAATTAACTTTACTGTGTACATATTATTTGGGCTAAGTTTCATAAACTTTTATGGTAT